TAGTGTAATGGAAATAATAAGAGTATCTTTTTCATAGAGCTATGTAAGAATTAAATGAATTAATTTTCGTGAAGCTCTTAGAATGGTGTCTACAACATAATAAGAATTATATATGTTTTTGATGAATAAATGAATATAAATAAATTTCAATGGCATACCATCTAAAACATATATAAAAAAGATTATAGCAAATTTTAAATTTTTTTGATAATATTAGATACTTCATCAATACTCCTTATTCTAAATTATCTTGGCTATTATTAGGCAGTTATGCTTTCAGACATACTTTACAAATTCTTTTGTCCCAACCCATTGGAATACTGATTGGAATTATATTAAATTATTTTATTAATTTGAGAAGGGTTGATATTTTATGATAGTAAATCTTACATCTAAGAACATAGGTTTTTCTTTCTTTATTCAAATTTTATTCTATGTTTTTAAAATATATTTTATAGCTTTCCTCATTAAAATCCTGTCCCTTTCTTGCCAAATTTTATTCCTATGTATGTTATAATTTGTAGGACTTTGTGAATAAAACTGTTTTGTTTGTTTCCATGTGGTTTTAAATTTTTATTTCTTTTGGAAGACTATATATATGCATGATTCAAAATTCAAAATGCACTCAAGTATTCAGCAGAAGTCCCTCCAACCCCTTTCTTTGGTTCCCTCCCTCCTCACCTTTAAAACTAGGAAATTTCATCTTTGTGCTGTAAAAATAAATTACATATGTGATTCAGAAAACTATATACACTATGCAAAAAGATAATACATAAGATGTTCAACCTGCTGCCATTTAATTATATCTAGATTTCAACACAGCCATCATCTCTGGTGGCTCAACCTCTTTCTCTAACTCACTGAAAACATTTGTTACTTAATGCGGGATGTTTTCATAAGCTTATCTGATCTTGATGAGTAATCAAATTCCAAATTCTGTGAATTTCAGCCTCAAGTTTCCTTCACCCATCAAACAAAACTGTCCTTCACCTCTCTGTGAGTTCAGTTAATGACTTCACCATTCACCAATTACCCAGCTGGGAAACCCCAGGAATGGAAATCCAGCTCACAGTAAGCCCAGAACCAAGACAGACACATCAAGCTTATGTTTCCTTCTTTATTGGGTGTGGGGTGGGAGGGGAGTGGGAGCGGTGCCGAGTATGGCTTTTACTTTGTTCGGAGTATTTCAGCATGCCCCTCACTTCAGAAAAAGATAGTATAAAAAGTTCTGTTATTTATCTGTGTTTGGGTCAAAAAAGGAACCCCAAACAAACTAATGACACTGAAAACACTACATTAAAATCATATATGAGAAGCTCCAAAGCTTTACTTATTGGTACAATTATAGCCTTAAATTATTTTGTTCTTAAAAGCAAGAGAATGAAAATAAATGAATTATGCACTTAAGTCCAGAATTTAGGAGGAAGAGTAGAAGAGGAGAGGTGGGGTGTGCAAAAAAATATGTCTAAGGAGACATTAACTAATTAGAAAATAGATTTTTTAAAAAAAGAGAGAATCTATATGTAAATGCAAGTGCTGTATACACAGGAACACACACACATACACTCTCTTACACGTATATACACTGAAACACAATTTTTCATGAGACAAAGTTTAAACCTACAGTGTGATACACTCTGATGTTTACAATTTCCCTAATAGCTTTGTTGAAGTATAACTGATAAATTATAAACTACGATATTTAAAGTGTACAATTTGGTAAGTTTTGACATATGTATATGCTCATGGTGCCATCAACACAATAGAAATAATGAAAATGTACTATGTATATGCAGGAATAGGCACCAATGTCTAGATTACTACATAACAATGGAAACTGCCTTCTTGAGAAAAGTGACTCTGTTAGAAAGTCTGCTCTGGAGCTCAGCAGCTGGTAACTGCCAGTTCTTCCACTGAGCTAATTCAGCCTCACTACTATCAAAAGAGAAGAAGAAATGAACCTCCAGAACCATCTGTGACTCTCCTTGCCTGATGAAGAAGCAACATCAAAGAGTTGAGAGTAATTAATTCATGCTTCAAATGTTGCTAATGGGTTAAGTAAGATAAGGACTAAGAATTGACCACTGGATTTAACAATGGGGAATTCACTGATCACCTGGACAAAGCGAGTAATGGAGTCATGGAGGAAATGGCTCAGTGAAATAAAATTAAGAGTCCTTGGAGAAGAGGAATTGGAAACAGCCAGTTTAAGTAACTCAAAGAGTGTTGTCAAAGGCAGAAAAAAAAATGGTGATGGCTGGGAGGGGAGGGGAGACCAAAAACAGTTTTTCTTCTTACTGTAAAAATTATGACAATATGTTGGTAGTAGGAGAGAAGGGAGACAGCAATGTCATGAGACAACATGAAATCTTGCGCAAAAGAAAGGAGTCTGGCTTTAACCAAGGTGGAAAGACTGATCCATCGTAACAGGTATGTGTGGACAGATGTTGGAAGCTGGGTAGATGTAGTGGGAGTGGAGGCGGGTCTTGAAAGCTATCTTCATTACTTCAGTTTTCTTAGTGAACTAAGAAGCCATGTCATCAGCTAAAAGTGAGGATGGAGAAGAAGTATTGGAGGTTGGAAGTGAGACAAGAGCTGAAATAATCATCTGAAATTATATACTCTTGTACATAATTGGTAAGTCATTCTAAATGGGCTGAGTGGGAGGATAGTAGCATCAGTCAGAAATTAAACAAGTACACACTGAAGAATTATTCACCCAGGAAAATATGGGCATGCTTGGACTCATTGCTCCCACAAAACCCTAATCCCTATAGTTACCTTCTGTGACTTGACATTAAGACATTAAGTTCCATCATGTTTGCTGTGTTTGCCTTTCATTACAATACTTCACTCAGGAACTGAGAACTATAAGACAATTGCCTTTTAGACCCTTGGCATTTTGCTATTACTTATTGCTTAACAAGAGCAGTATCAGCTGTGTGGCACCTCCATGGGTGGGGTGAGTGTGTGTCTGGCAAGGTAGGAGAAAAACTGTCTTTAGCTTCTTTCTTCCTTTTGTTAATTCTATGTTTCAAGTAGGAAGAGGAATCCAGGTTTTTGTTTCATTTTGATGACAGTGTATAAATAGGAGCCCATCCTTATCAAGTGAGAGAGCTCCACTTTGTTTTACAGTCACATTTGGCAAATTAAAATCTGGGTTATCTCCTTTCATGGGGAAAAGAAAAGGAAATTGTATTTTTCAGGTCTGTCTTAATGCATCCATAAAAAGAAAGACCAATTTGTCTCTGTTCCTAAAGAATATGAAAGCATCTCTCTCTTAGCTGCCTTTGTGAAAAAAATAAGAAAAACTGAGCTTTACAGAATTATTTCATTTTGATCAATGTGTTTTCAATAAGATGCTAGATTTGATTTTTAAAGAAATAACAAAAATGCAAAAGCAAGTCCATTGGACAGAAGTTTTGGCTTGAAGTTGAGGTAGGTGATAAAATAGGAATATAGATGGGGAGAGAAGACATGAGAAGAGTAACTTTAAAGTAAATTCTGAGTTCAGTATTTTTCAGGACTCTTAGTAGGCTTTGTTTAGTTAAATATTGACTTCACTTTTCAGTAGTCCATTGTTTGGTAACAAGCACAGGACAAGCAGGTTATTCAACAGCAATCTATTACAACCCCAAATACCAGAAAATCCATATGAGGCTTTCTGTAGCATACAACTCTGGGAATAGATTAATAAAACTGAAGAGAACTCTGAGGAGGAAATTATATGATTGTGTCATAGGGCCATTTGGCCTAAACAATAATGCCATACTCCATTTGGCATCAGTTTGCTAATACAAATGTGAAATTGACTATATTTTCTGTGGAAACTGCATATTTTTAACCACAAGATATATTTGAGATGTTAGTCTTTCAAAGAAGGCAAATAATTTATGTCATACTGAATATTCACTGATTTTTGAACAGTTTTGAAGTGGTCATTTCTAGATCCAAATGGCCTTTATCGCAGATATTATAGCTTGCTAGCATTATCAGACTAGAAACTTTAGGATGAGTGCGGGTGAGGAGATGTACATATCAGAAACCTGTCACCCAAATACTACTGCTTAATTTATACTTACAAGAAGGAAAGCTAATTTAAATTTTGTAGGAGATATGGCTTTCTTAAACCTTTGGGTGAATTCACTTGCATTTTTATATATAGTTTGCAGCTATTCATTTGTTTTAAATTATGATGCCTTGGTTTTGAGATTTATTCATGGCTTTAAATTTAAACATACTCCCAACATGAGCACAGGACCCCCATTCATCAAAGCTATAAACATTTTTCTTTTCTTGCCATATGTACTCTATGGTAATTTAGAGGGTGGAATAGAAACTTAACATTTGAAAGGATTTGGCACGCCAGATTGGCATGTGCAGAGGCTTGCACCCTATGTTGCATATAATATTTTTTTCAGATTATATTTTTGTAGGAGCTTATCCAGATTAGCTATAGAGTAAAGGAATGTTGGAACAGGAAGGAACCCTAGAGAGAGTCTAGACCATGAGGCCAAGCCAACCTACTTGTTTTATAAATTCTCCTAGAGAAGTTAAGGTGCCCAGTGTTACAACAATGTGTGTCATGACCCCCATCTTCTATTGTGTAGGATATTTGGGAAGGATGTATCATGTGTATGTAAAAGTACAGGCTTGGGGTCAGACTAATTCACATTAAATCCCTGCTCAACTGATAGCTTGCTATGTAAACTTGAGCAAGCTTCTCAGCTTCTGTACCTTAAATTAGGGATAATAAATAGCATACCACGTAAGACTGGTGAATTATGTGAGATAATCGATGTAATAGGTCATCACACATAGAAAATAATAACACAAGAAATGTATAAATCATAATGCTAAAATTCCTGATAGTACTGTAATACATAGTGAAAATAACTGGCTCTAACTAGCTTAAAAATTAAATTTGAGTCAAGTTTTATTAAAAAATTGTTCAGGCTACTTAAATTTTATTTGTGAATCTCATTTGTTGCACAGCATATAGTATTGAACCTGGGTTGCTTGCACACCCTAAGTGCTTGTGTAAAACCAAGCCACTTTGAAGAAGGTCTATGTAAAAGTGGATGATCTCATGCAAGGCAAATGAATAAATTATAGATACATACATATGTGACTGAAAACATGTAAGAAAACCAGCCCTCTTGATTTATCCTTTTTCATTAACTGAATTGGAATCTGGTATCTTGTCATATTAAAATCAGACTTGGTCACCCTCAATGAATAGATTATCATTTTAAACAAAAAATGTCAGAAAAATCCTATGTCATCTTTAGTATTTGATGGAACTGGTTATTTGAATTCTGCACATCAGAACTCAGAACCTGAACATCAAACATATTTTTACAAAGTATAGCCAATGAAATGCCAATCAACAGTTATGGCCAACTGGCATTAAAGCAACTCTTTTTGGCTGACCGGCAAATTGTACTTGGGTCAGAGAGAAAGCCAAGTCCATGAGGATTCTCTCATAGCATTTTAAACAACAAAGGCTCTATTGTTCAGATAAGGGGTCCCTCATTGAAGGCCTCCTTGTAAATAAATTATCTAAAACACACCAGACAGAAATGACTTTTGTTGGAACAAGCTTCCAAGCAGTGCTTAAAAGTTTTTCAAAAAAGTACTTGAAAGTTAAAATAATTTTTATCATTATTGCAAGTTAGGGTCCACTCAATTCAAATGCGAATCATTTCAAGTTGTCTGAGAAGCAGATGCCAGGATGAAGTTAGATGTCTGAAGGATTGAACTGGAGGAGATACCTGTGAAAGGGGAGAGGGAGCAGGATGAGCAAGTAGAGCATTACACCATCACGCAGGCCTAGCATCTGGGTAAGAAGAGAAAAAAGATGATCATGTAGGAAAAGCCTCAGACTGTAATGCAGCCCTGAGAGTGCCTCAGTCACACAATGGGGGTCCCTAGAGCACAGATTGCCCTTTAGTAGAATCTGGTGTTGGGCAGAAATGGCGCAGCTCTAGTTAGCCAGCCCCTGTCTGGGAGCAGCCTAAAGAAAGCGTGGCCTTGGCATGAACATTATGGTGGATCCCAAGGTGTGGCCACTGGAGGCTGTCTGCCAACCTCCATACTTGCACAAAGTTCTCTGGAAGAGAACATCTTCCATCTCCATGGCAGAACACCTAAACATCTCCATGGCTGTCAAAGATGCCTTTCTAAAATAATATCCACCAGGGTTCTCTAACTGGGCTCCCTGAAAAGACAAGAGGGTTAATTAAGAATAATTGAAAGAAGAATTAAATCCAATTTCCTATATACAGTATCATAAGCAATGAACTATAGACAATAGCTGGGACTCAGATATTAACTTCTAGTTTCTGTACATAGGAATTGATAAAACCTTTGGCCTAGCATGTCTTAAATAAAATTTCTTCTGTTGTGGTAAGCTCAGGTTTTCCTTTTACCTATTTTGTGGCCCAGTTATTTAGTTATTTATTTCATCCTTTCCTGCAGTTCTAGGTTGAAATGACTTTTCTGTCAAATAATTGACCACCTTACTAATAGTACTACAAAAATCATCAGTTTCAACTGCACAAAGTTCTTATCAATTCTAACCCTGAACACTATTCTTAACTTGATGACACTTCTTTATTTCACAAAACCTACAAATAATTCTCCTCCCTTCTTTGACAGTCCTCATTATGTGGAAATGATGACTTTGCATATAAGACCCCGCAGAGTTCTGCTGCTTCTCTTGCTCTACACAGAGGAGGGAGGGTAACCAGACAGTGGGTGGGTTCTATGTCCCTGGCTTTTGGGAGAAAAAGTAACCGCAGGGATTGAGCCTAAGAAACAAACTATAGTCTGTTACACTTTTCCTCTGTACAACATGCTAAAACTCTCACTGCAGCAACCCAGAGGTGTTTCTATCAGTGTCATAACTACTAAATATAAACTATACAGGCACCTCACCCAGGCCCTCTGACCAGCCGTGCCTCCCATTTGGCATATATAAAATTTATATTTTTAAAAGAATCATCTCAAGCTTCTGACTAAAACCTTCTGTTTGGGTAGAAATTTTAGGACAACAAAGCACTTCGTATGCAGAGTGTTCAAGTGGAAAAACTCTGTCGTCTTTGAAATACACCAGGGAGCATTTTTTCCTCAGTAAATTCTGTCCCTGGACAAATTAACAAAGTACAGATTACCTCCTGAGCTAAACTTTTATCACTATAGCATAACCCAACCTTAACCTAAAATGTGCCAAGAATTCTGACAGCTCCCCAACAGGAAAGAATGTGCAGCTCCTCCCTGGCTTATGCTGAGCTAATCCTCTGTCAAGCACAGAGACTGGGCACCGGCAACGAAAGAAACTGACCTACAGTGGGAGTTGGAGTAGTGACCAGCCTTACTCCACTGGAGCTCTCCCTTCCCTCAAAGTCTATGAATTGTTGGACCTATAAGAACCGCAGGGAGGCCCTCTGGGGATTTTTAACACAACTATCATTCTTTGTGACTCAGTTTTGCTAAGGGTGTTATGACATCTCCAGCTAGTTGGTTTAATAATGCCAAATTTTAATGTAAACAACACTTCCTGAAGGAAAAGCTTTCTAATCTAGCGCTTCATGTTCTTAATGGGAGTTGGCTTTCACCCTGTTTGCTTCAAGGGTTTATCTCTGCACGTGGACTACACAGTTTGACCACATTACCTGTTTCTTAAACCAGAGTAAATGTATTACTTTCATCTTTACAAAAATCACTGCTTTTTTAAAAGGTTCAGGAATGTTCTTTGCTCACTGGGAAAAAGAACTAATAAAACTATACAAAGAGTGAACTTGTGAAAGTTTTACATTACTCATTGGAAAAAATTCAAAGAGTACACAAAACTATATGAAATAAAGAGTGAACATTCACCTTTCCCTCACTTGCCCCTTCCCCCATGTCCACTCCCTAGGAGTAACCAGATCTTTTGCTCTGCATTTTTACAAGCCAGTTCATACTTTAGATATTTTTCTGCAACTACTTTATGTATAATACATCACCAACAGCAGCCCATATCAGTGAAGATTGGTCTTATGCTTTGTGAAGTTGCATAGCACTGTACTGTATGCAATTTTCATTTAGCTGATCCATATTAAGAAGCATTTTGTCATCAGATTTTATCAATTACATTAAAAATGGAATAAGTGTCATTGTCAGTATGTGTGTGTACTTGGGTAGATGTTACAATAGGATGATTCCAGAAGTAGAATTGATAGTTTAAAGGGTATGAAGAGTTTAAGTTTTGATATATATTGCCAAATCGCCTCTCGAAAATGTTATTAAGCATGCATTACCGTCATTATATGGGAGTGACCCTTCCCATGCACTTGCCGCCACTGATGCTATCGATCTTTGTGATGTGTCAGTTCCCCATTTGGAAATCTCTGAAAACAGTACCATCTCTTGGGGAATTTCATCAGGGAACCTTTGATGACCTTGATTCACACTACAAATATTGGGCTGCTGATTCTATTAGTCCTATTAAGGCCACTTTCAGTAAGTTAAACTTACTAATGTTGTTTATTTCTACAAACTTACTTTCAGATGGTGATCTAAAGAGGCAAAAACAGGCTCTAAGTTGTATTTTCATAGTTTTCAGTTTGGAATCAACATCCATAATGCATAAAGCAAGCACATGTGGTTAAAATTGTTCATGAACTCTTTTGTGAGTCACAAACATAAGTGAAACAATCAGCATATTTATAGTAAACTTAATAAACACCCAGATAAAACAGAAGTCAGGTCAATCTCTTACTTCAAGTAATTTCAGGAAAGGTGAGAATTGTAAATAAATCTCAGATATCTTGCTCATTTTTTAAAAATCTGGATGCATTTTGCTTAACCCCTGTAACACACAGTTCTACAAACTCTTAAAGATTTTCATGAACTATGAATGCAATTAAATTTTCAAACACCAACATTCTCAAATCTAAGATATTACTATTAAATAACTTTGAACCAAACATTCTGAGGTCACTATGAAGTTAACATTTTATGTTTCTTAAAACTAAATGTCAGCAATGGCTTTGAGTTAAAAAGGAGTTGAAGGTGAATCTGAGATCACCTCTAATTTCTGGTGGCATTTTCCCACTGAGGCATCTCGACCCGAATGTTCAGAGGAAGAGAGGGTCCCTCAGTCACATCCTGCACACATCACCAATACAGCATCCATTCTACCACATCAAGTCCCTGCGTGATGATCCCAGGAACAATTTCTTAAACATATTAGTTTCAGAAGAAGATGCACTTCTAACAATGGTCGGCTTTCACCTCATGGCCTGTGTGCATCTTGTAAAGGATAGTGTTTTCTTACTTGTCACAATCACCAATAAACTCAGAGCCAGTATTGTGGCCCACTTCTGGCAAATGAACAAGACTTTATGATACACATTTCAAGGGCCAACTGTCCCTGCCTGTTATCTTAGATTTATACCCTATTTTCCTTTCCTTCCAATTTTTTCCTTTGTTTTATTTATTCATCTTTTTAATTGTATATTTCTCCAAAAGCCATCTCAAATCCTCTCTTAGTAGAAGGGGGCTAGAAAAACATTAAATAGACAGATAAGTAAGGCAAACAAATAATAAAATAGAAAATAAGGTATATGGACAGATTAAGAACTGTGACACCATATGTTGGTTTAGAAAATTATCAAAGTCAACAGAAATTTTGACTTTGGTTTATTTATGCCTTTTATTATATAAAAAAGGACAAATTAATTACAGGGCTACCCCAGCTTTCCTTATACAGTGGATGTATTTCTAAAATGTTGTTTGTGAATCAATTTATTGTAAAGCAAATTATGTATTTAATCTACTAGAGAAACTTGCTATTCAAACACTTCATAGTGTTTGAAAGCACAGAATTTTAGTATGTGAATATTCATCTAATATAAATGAGGTTTTTTTTAATGCAGATTCAGGTTTTATGTTCCCTGATTTAAAACAAAGCTAGAGTGTAAAAGAAACCTAAAAGTCCTTGTTCTTTATACCTCTTTCCCCCTCCCACCTTCTAAAATTTTTCACTCCATAGAGAAAACCAGTTAATAATTCAATGTGATTTCCCCAAATAATTTTAAAAATGAAAATTCAGAGATTTTATATATATATATATATAACAGACACTTCCAAAAGAGATCCAAATAACCAATAAATATACAAAGAAGCTCATCTTCCTTAGGTATCAGCGAAATGCCTATATAAATCACAATTTAGTGCTTATTCTATAGGCATCAGAATAGCTAAAACAAAAAAGGTGAAAAACACCAAGTAATGCTGAGGCTGTGAGCAATCACTCTCTCTCATACATGCTGACTGAAGTGTAAATTCGTACAACCACTTTCAAGCACCGTTTGGCTGTAACTCAATAGAAATGTGTACAATGCTTACCAAACCACACATACCAGAACAGCCATTAAAGAACTATTTGCAATAACCAAAACCTGCCATCTAACAAAATGCCCATAAATAGTACCACTTTTTGTTATCAGATTGTTGGTGTCTTCTGGATATAAACTTCGCAATATATTGCTTTTCTTTCAGCTTTACTTTCAATATTGGTATTGGATTGCCTTAAAAAATGAAATTCAACTTTTTGAACAAACATTTGCTAAATACTTAATGTACATTGAATTCTGCACTGAGCATCTCAACTGAAAACCCAACATGGACCTCCTTTCCCACCCTGCCTTCTAAAAAAACATGCCTGGGTCTAAATGAAATCATGGAGTAAGTACTGCCCTCAGGCTTGTGAAAGAGAGGCCCTTGTGCTGGCTCTCTTCCAGCTGTACAATTCACAAGACAAGGAGCCTTTAGATAATGAGAAGTGCCCATCCTCCAGATATCCCAGACTTTGGAGCACCCAGCCTAAATGTCCTGGAGTCCTGAGGGTGGTGAGGAAGACGTGGAATAGAATTTGGACATGTGAGCTTGGGTTTCACACAAGTGTATAGGAGACCATCTCTGTGCATATGGGGAGCCAGGAGTGGGAAGAAAAGTGGGGAGGATTGGAGATTGAGGATCAAGCCCATCTCTCTCTGCATTACCACTTTCCAGTGCAGAACTCTGAGAAATCTAAATTCAAAACTCTCTTCCAAGGTCATTAAGAAGGTATATTTTTCAAGATAAGAAGATAAAACATATTGTGTCCAATAATTTATTAGCTCAACTGTAACTTTTAATATTTAGACCTACAGTATATGGGCTCCATTTCTCTTCTGGCTCTGTACCCCACAAATCTTAGAGGTGAACCTACATGTAATGGTATTAAAAGTGCTTTGCTTATGTTTCCCACTCCACCTCCACCTCTGCCCTCCCCATTAGTTCAGTTCCTGGAAATTGGAGGAAAATTGTAAAGTTTTTGCCTCAGACAGATGCTTGTGGTCTACAGGTTTAAAAGCACAAGATGGACAAGATGTTAGTTGTGGCTATGCAGAGAGGGTAAAGGAGTCCAAAGAATGGACTTGGCCCAGAAAGTTTCTGGGTTCCCATCCAGCTCTTATAAATACCTAATTATATGCATGGTCATGTCCCTTTGCTTCTGTACTCCAGCTTCCTCACTGATAAAGAGAGGATGACCACACCTTCGTGGACTGGTGTGAAGAAGAATTGACATAATTTATGTAAATACTATATAGTGTTAGGAAAACACAAGATAAATTTTATGAAGCAAATTGAATTTTGACAGACATTCTGATTCATTATTTGCCTACAAAGCTGAGACCTATTTCACTTAGTGCTCCAATTCTTGTATGAAAGATATGATTTCCTGTGGTAAGATGTCTCAGTCTTATACCTGGTTCAGCAAATACAGCAAAGGGCCAGTGACCTTGAGAAAAACGCTGTTACCTTCTCTCCTCAACACGGTCCTTGCTCTCCTGAAGGGTTTTTCTCCAGCCAGTAATTCTCCAGCAGTTCATCCCCTCACCTGCCCTTTCCTGGCTTCCCGGGTAGATGCTGGGCGGTAGGCAGGTCTGTTGCTTTCATGAGGGATTCAGTGGTCTTCTGCTTGGGTTTTCACGATGCCCTTAGAGAAGTCTGATGGCAAACTAAACATTTAGTAATTGGAAATATTCTGTGAGCCTAATTTCTATAAAGGAAAGTTGCTGTGAGAAACTTTTTCATTCTTGTTCAGATTTCTCCCTCACTCATATCCTTTTTTTGCTTTTATATTTCCACCTCTTCTAAAAATAAAGAGGATAGGAGGAAAGAACAAATAATATCTGATGAAAAGTAGGGAAGGATTAAATGTGAGAGGAGAGAAGTGGTGGAAATCCTCTGATCATGGCAAGGTTGCAAAATTCCCTTCCTTGGGGGGTAGGCTGAGTGACAGAGGAAGTCAGGTCAGAGCTGGGGTTCCCACCACATCTACCCAGCTCCAGGGCTCCTGCCATTTCCATCATTCCAGAGCACCAATGTGGAAGCTCAGGGTCCTCCTCTATATTGTGGTGACCATAATGAGACTGGATCTGATACTGAGAGCAGCAACTTATAAAGGATTTTGGTGAACAAGAGCAGGTTCTTAAAGTGGAGGCCCAGGATGGCATAGGATCTGAAAACCATATCACATGAGAAGTAGTGGAAAAACCTGCTTATGTCTGGCCTGGAGAAGAGGTACTTTGTGGTAAGACATGTGAAGGTGTGTCTTATGAAAATAAACAAATTTAAATTTCTAATTTTTTCCTTGTAAGCTGTAAAGAAAGAAGCCGGTATAAATAATGGATGAATGGATTCTGGCTAAAATACCTTTAACAAATAGTGCAGTCATATAATGGAACGTGCTTGCTTTCCAGTAAGGGAATTAGTGGGTTACTTATCACTATAATTATCCGGACAGAAGCTAGATGACTATCAGATGTTTTTTAAGAACAAACTTTCCCATTTGATGAGGATACAGAAAATAATCTCCAAAAAAAGTTTTTTTTTAATTCTTTACAGTTAAATGATTTAAAAGGAAACACTCATGAGCCACTGTTGAGACCTATTTTAGTGTGTTCCTTTCCACCAGGTGGCTGTACATAGCCTGGCACAGTCCAGGCCCTGAGCTTTCCTGTGGTTGGCCCTGAATCCACCAGAGAGTCAAGGCAGTCATATTCTTTTTGTTTTTGTGAGCTCTGAATTGAAATGTCTGTTTTTTTGAAATTCATAAAATAAATGGTGGTTTGAAGCTTTAATTCTGGCTCTGGGATTTCCTCAGAAGTCTTGGCTAAAAATTTCCTGATCATTAAAGAGATTTTACCCTGTTGACTTTCAACAGAGAAAAGACAGGCAAATACTTCAATAAATTGTTTTCTTCCCTTCATGATTCCCCTGCCATCATCTCAACCAAGGCATTTGTGGGCTGGGGTTGGGAATGAGGGTGGAGCTCCTGCTCAAGGAGCTCTTACAATGTGTTCAAACCAGCACATATTCAGTTCATAATGCACTGCCGAGTTCTCAGTGAGGACGGGATTCCCGGCACACTTACACCTGGTGCCTGACATGGCCAAGTTCCTCATCTCCAGCTACAGTATTCTTTAATCAGCACTTCTTATTATGTCTCTAGTTCATTGTTTGCCCTAACTTGAATGAAAGCTCCATGCGGTTTTTGTGGGTGTGTTACATAAATTTTGTTCCCTGACACATCTCAAGCTCCTAGGACAAATCTGTCATGGTGTAGGCTCGCCAATATTTGTTGGATAAAAAAACCTGGTGGATGGCAAGTCAGTGTTAGTTTAAAAAAATCATTTAAAGTGTGTTTTATTTTTAGAATCTTATTAATTTTACCAATAAATATTAAATAGCCTGAGTTCTCAAAGAAAACAGGACAAATAGGATGTATATATGTATATATATGTATGTGTGTGTGTGTGTGTGTGTGTGTGTGTACATATATGTATATATGGGAACAGAGATTGAGGCGATTTTAAGGAACTGGTTCATGCAGCCATGGAGGTTGGCAAATCCAAAATCTGCAGGGTAGGCTGGCAGGATGGCAGGCTGGGAACTTAGGGAAGAACTGATGAGGTAGTTGAAATCCAAAGGCAGTCTGCTGGCAGCATTCCCTCTTCTTGTAGGTCAGTCTTTTTCCAGTAAGTCCTTTAACTGACTGGATGAGGCCCATTATGGAGAGTAATCTACTTTACTCAGTCTACTGATTTAAATGTTTATCTCATTTTACAAATACCTTCATAGAAATATCTAGAATAATATTTGAACAATATTTGGATACCATAGCCTAGCCAAGTTGACATACAATAGTAACCATCATAAATATCAACCTAATAATTTGTTTTACAGCTGAAATTATCTCCGATAGCAGCCTCCACATTCTATGGACCAAGAAATTCAGTCATTGTGAGATGAACAGTTTATCCAAAGTCACAGATGACACACACAGCACCCCAAGGCTCCTACTGCCAATCTGTGTTCTCCAACTACAGATGCTACAAAAGGATGCAGCTATAGAATGCTGCTTCAGGGATTTGGTGTCTGTTTGGCTTACAATGCCCTAATCCCAGACAACTATAGACTTAAGGAATTCATACTGTGGAATTGTATGGTTTGGGGAGAGACAATCTGACCTAGATATCTGCACTTGAATATGCATAATCTAAATCATGTTATAATTGTTTTTATTGTCTTCAAAATGCAGTTTATATTGCAGCTAAGCTGTAGTGGGGGTGTGCAGGAATGTGGGGGAAAGGCTGACTGCTAAAGGGTAAAATGGGTTGGCCAAGATAGAACTCATTGACAAGGTAATATCTGAGCAAGACTTAAAGGAAGAAAGGGAAGATATCAGGGGAAGAGATTTAGGGCAGAGGGAAGAGCCAGAACGAAGGTTCTAAGTGAGGAGTGTGCTTGATCTGCTTAAGAAACAGTGAGGATGCCAGTTGTATTTGGAGCAAATAGGTGACTGAGTGATGGGGAGAGTTAAGAGACAAGGTGGAGGGCAGAGGTACACAGCTCTTGTAGGATCTTGTACATCATTTTGAATTTTATTCTACTTAAATGGAGAACCATTGGAGAGTTTTGAGCATGGGAATGCCATGATATGACTTAGTTTTAAAAAAGAATCTCTCTGGCAAGTAAGTTTAGACTAGTCTCTGGGTTAGTGATAGTAGTGATAGAAGAGAGTTTGATCCAGGGAGACCAATGGAGTTGGGAGACTACAGCAGTAATCTGGGTGAGAGATTATGGTGGTGCTAGTGGTGGAGAGCTCAAGAAATGAACATAGTCTGAATGTGGAGGGTGAGCAAAAAACTGTGGCAATCTGGAGTTCTGTATATCTAGGCTTGATATACGAATTCAGAGGATACAAATTTTCATTCAATTTGGTTAAACATTTATTGGTCACTCTACCATTTGCTGGGAACTAACCTAGACCTTTCAGGTACAAATAATAAGACTATATATATTGCCTCCCTCAGGGGACTCATAATTAATGGGGAAAGCAAATATATCGATAAAAACTGAAATATGTAATAAAAGTAGGTATAAAAGCTTCTAAGGATGCAGATGCAGGGATAACTAATTCATTCTACCTTTGGGAAATGCCAGGAAGGACTTTAAAGAGGAATTAAATAGTTGAGCTAGAAGTTGAAGGTTAAGGAGAATTTCTGTACATGGACAAAGTAGGATATTCCAGGCAAAGGGAAAGGACAGTTTTATGTTTCATAAGGTAAATGAGCTCTGATGTGCCTTAACTTGTAATAAATTTGTCAATTGAATGCCTGATACATTTTCCCCATAATCTGGAAAATATAAAGAGACACATACCACTATAGACCTATATATGGTCATATGTGAGATCAAGAGAGTTTCATTCATGGAACTTAAAGATAAACACTGCCCTTCATGGACATTTCAAGTTTATATGTGTTTCTACACTGCTTTATATTAACCAGCATGTCTTCTCAGTACTTTGTGTACACAATGGCCTTTCTTTCAAAGGCAAGGCAGTAGCCAGAGTAGTCTCCTTTCCTGTCTCACGGAATGAAGGCTACAGCTTAATCCAGAGGGGAAAAGAAGGAGCCTGGCCCTGAAACCATCTCAGGGCATGAACAATGGGACTTAGAAAATATTTTGAGTCCATTGGCTCCTTGTAGACTAGATTAAGATTTTCTGGGCTGAATTGGGGTGGGTGGTGTGTTGGGGGGGGGTTGGGGGTGGGGGGTGAGAAGGCACCAGGGGATATAGAGGGAGGGTTTGGGGGGAGCCAGAGTCTAAAGAGCCAACCGGAAGGCCACCTCAGATAGGGGTGGAGTCAGCACGTGAGGACCACCTGGCCTCCATTCCAGACAGTACTTCCCTTTTCAGCGAGCTTGGCCTATGCTGCCCACACAGCAGGATTCTGCCTGCCTATGTCCTGATCTTTCTCTATGTGGGCCCTTTTCAAAACTCCAGATATTGGTAAGCACTCCTACTACACTAGCAAAGTGTGGAACCCCAGAAATCAAGGGATTGGGGAAGCAAAAAAAGCCTCATTATCCTGGGAGGAACAGAACAGGACCAGTTCAAGATAAGTATCTACCCTCACTAATGCCCCAGGATGGGACAGCGGTGCTACACAGCCCTTCAGAATCACCCCTCCTCCTTTCATTCTGGTGGCATTGCCTGGGACTCTTGGGTTGCTGAGCCTCTGCTGAGCCTTGGAAGGAACTTTACATAAAGAACAGAATTTTCCACTTTGATTACTTTAAATACAGTTGTGTGTTATGTGACATCCACTGCCCCAGCATTTCTGGTCCTATGTTCCTTCTCAAGTCTTGGCCTCCACATACTACTCTCCATGCCCCATGGATCTTTTACTCTAGTGCCAAGAAACTTAGTTTCTTCAAGTTGTTGTTTAAACATTTCTCTTTGGTGATGAACTTGGCTTCCTGTCTGGGAGCCCTGTAAAAAAATGTCATTTTCTAAGCCAGAGCTGTTAGAAACTGTTAGATAAACGACATTGCAACTGGTTGTCAGTAATAAAGCAAATAGTAAAAAGATAGCATGACTGGCTGCTCCTTCAGATCTCAGACAACCTGGAACTGGACTTTTGTACTTTCTGCTTAGGAAAGCATGTGGAGGCTGCGAATTTGATGCTTTACAAAATGTTGTGCTTGTATGCAAGGACATGAACTTTCTGAGCTCTTTAACAACTTCTCCTTTCACTTTATTTTCCCTACAGTGGAATGAAGTTGGCAGGCCTGTGTTTGACAGATGAGTTATGTCCAGCTCAGGACAGTCAAAACACATTCCCTTGGTCACACACAAGGACAATCCTCAGGCTGAGGCCTGTGCCTGGACACCCTGCCCCCCTATGTTCTGGCTTCAGGACATATGTCTCTTCTAACATGCCCTGTGTCCTTGGCAAATTACTTCATCTGTCTCCGTTTTTTAACTTCCACAAGGTCCTTCCTACTTTTAACTATCTTTTAACTGTTATGCCCCAGTGAGCAGGAGTTTGGAAATTGGTTGCAGGTGGAGAGAGGCAACGTTTGGTTGTCTAATCACGTTCTCCAAGCTATCTTGCTCATTTTTTTTCTTAAGTCTTGCCTGAAGATAGCTAACTTTTATGTAGCATTCCTTTGAAGTTGTGACTGCACTTACCCTCTTCTAGGTTCTGCCTTCTCTTCGGGAACGGGTGGGCGGAGAGGAAGGAAGTGTCCTGCAACTACCAATATTTTCCTCTAGGAGGAGCCGCGAAGCCCAGATGAGTGACACGCACCAACTCCAACTCCTCGCCCGGGAACGCTTCATCCCAGCTCCTCGGAATGCGTGGCCCGGACGCCGCTCTGCGTCTCCGCAGCGGGTCTCGAACCGGCCTCCCTGAACTCCCGCTTCCCCTCTTTTCGGCAGCCCAGGACTGGGGAACCGCGGGCCGGGCCCGGCGTGACCCCCGGTGAACGGCGGCCGCCGTTTCCCACCCATCCCCTCCCATCTTCCTTTCCCGTTTCACCCCACCCCCTCCCCTCCCCGAGCCTGACAGCCCGCGAGCTGCCAAGCAGGGCGCAGCCATGGGAAGAGGAGGCGGTCTAAGGAGCGGCGGCGGTGGCGGCGGCTGCAGCGGCGGCTGCTGCTGAGCCGAGGCGGCGGCGGGGACCCCGGGCTGGGGCCACGCAGGCCGGAGGGCCCCCGCGCCCTCAGCCCCGGCGCGGACGCAAACCCGTGCTCTCTCCCCGGAGGCAAGGATCGGAGGTACTGGAAGGGGGCACCGAGAGTCGGGCTCTTATTTTCCCCCTGTTGTGCCAGGGGGCCTGGAAGTGGACCCAGGGACACCAGTTGTTTATGAAAGTGGGGATCTTTCTAATTTACATGGATAATTGTTTTCCGAGTGACTTGGGAGGTGGTTGTGCTCCCCTTCTCTCGGCCAGGAAATTGTTTTCTGCGGTGGGCTGTTGTAACCCGATCCACGCCGTGGAGTGTGTGTGTGTGTGTGTGTGTGTGTGTGTGTGTGTGTGTGTGTCTGGAAGTTGGTGGGGGGCGTTAGGGAGTTGGGGTCGATCGAGAATCATCTCACCCTGGTGCCTGCTCCTACCGGTGTTGGCAGTGCCTGGAGGGGCTTCCTCCGAAGCCAGTTTTGTCGTAAAAGTTTTGCAAGTGTTTGCGTTTGACATCGTCAGCCGGGCTGAGGCAGAAACTGCTGAGGCTGCCGCTGCTGAGCTGGGAGAAGTCCCTGGCAGCGGACCGGAGGAGAGGGGAGGTGGTCCGGCTGTGCGCGTCCACTCCGCGCGCTTCTTTCCAAAGCGCACCGCCCTTTGCGCGTGTGTGCAGGCTGCAGCGGCTCATTGGCACCCGGGGAGCTGGGGTCAGTAGAGTCACGGTCACCAGTCCCTATGAGCTGGGGTGGGTGGAAATCGTGGCGAGCCAAGCTCTCCCAGGCCTGGACACACTTGTAGTTATGCAATCAACCAGGCTCAAAGTTTTGACAGGACTGCCCGAGGTATGAGAGTTGCGGGTGAGTGGGGTAGCGGCGTGGCTGGGGAGACAGCGTTGGCGGCGCGCAGAGGCTGCAGGGCAGGGTCACCCACTTACGAGTGCGTGGGGAAGTCTATTTTGGGGTGATGGCTTTATATATAACCCGGGGGTTGGGATGGGGACGCCGGTCGGGACACGGCTGCGGGAACTTGTGGCCTGGCGCGGGATATGTGTGCTGAATGGGTGGGTGTACGTGCGCGCTGTGTGTTGTGCGCGCCTGTGTGCGCCTGGGGAGGCGTGTCGGCGCCTGAGCCAGTAGGGTGTGCAGCGGGGGAGGAGGAGGCCGGAGAGGTGCCACCCGCCTGTTTGTGCCGCCTTGGAGACCTTGGAAGGGACAGGGAAAGGTAACGGGAAACCAGAGGGTTAGGAAGGCGCAGGAGTTCTGCATAGGATTTAAGTACCACGCACTTTCAAACATTAAACCATTTGCGTTTGAGGGGCTGAGGGCTGGAGGTGAAGGTTTCTGGAGCTCTCAGGAGACCTGCAGAGAAGGACAAGGGTTATGGGAGATGTGTGTATGTGTGGGTACAGTGCCCCAGACCCGAGCCCAGGTTGGAGCTGCGGATCTGAGATTCTCGGGGCGCTGCTGTCCACAGTCCAGAGACTAGCTGATCTCTGGGGTGTTTACCTTTAATCCCAGGTGTGTGCGCCTGAGAAGGCACTCACCTTTTTCTCACAGATGTTGTGGCAGCTCTGTGCCCTGAACAGTTGGTACTGTAGGCTATTTTCCATGTGGGTCACCATGGAAGTCTTTTTTCTCTTGGGTGCCAAGTTACAGATCTTAGAGTAACTAGTATTGAAACATTTCCAGAAATTAAAATGCATTATAGAAATGAAATAAAATGGTTAGTAGACGAGTTGTTGGTTCCACATTTTCTGTGATTGGGGATTCTGTTTCCTTTCGTGAAAAGTAAAGCTCAGTGTTCTCAGAAGTCAAAGGGGTTCTCCAGTTATTTATGGTTTCCCTTCTTTGGAACTTTAGATGGAATTGGAAGGATGTGTTTTCGCCTAGAGACCTTTGGAAAATACGATTTGTAGCTAAAGCATGTCCCATCCCTTATCTCCTTCTTCCACCCTTACAAACTTTTGCTTCACATTAGTCTAAGGGAAGTTGGTGAGTCACATTCACCTTTTCATTTGGTGTAAATATATCACAGAAATTAAAGTTTTGTTCTCCTGAATGCCAATGAAAGCCAACACTTAATGCGCAAAGATGTGAAATGAAAGTCTATAAATGCAATGACAAAGTGACGACACGAGGACATTTTTTTTAAAATAGAGCATAACCTTGCCTTGTAAATATTTGTTCTAGGCAGAGTTTGGGGCTGTGTTTCTGATTATTAGTTTTTTTAACAGCAGGCTCCACATCATAAACCACTTAAAATGGTTGCTAGACGCCCTCTCTATGCTATCTTTGATGTCTGTGTTAATGGAGGTTTGTGGTGCTTGGTAACCTATGAGACTGTCACATTGAGTATCATGTTAGCTCAGGACATAGTTGTAGCATATAGTGTTTATGTAATACATAGAACACCAGTTGCAGCCTGCTTCTACTAAGGGCATGAACCACCCCAGCACAGAAACAAATCTTGAAGTCAGTCCAACTTGGCGAGCCTTTTCAGCTCCCTGGTAAGCATTGTTAATGTAAAGATAGATCTGAATGGTACAGTGAGAATGTGGCACAGCAAATTGTCTACCTCAGGAAAAAAGGCATGGGCTACATTATTTAAATCTGTTAACCTGAAGATTAAGCCTCTCTGGTCACTGGTAAATTGCAACTATGGAGATTTGGTGTACTTTAGAGAACAACTTTAAAAAATATGTCAGGAATGAAAATAACTTCTTTTTCTTAGTGTCTCCACATATGTCCATACAAACCGTCACTTTTTCTATTTTTATAACCCTGTAATCTCTGTGGTAGTGATTTAAAGAACATTAGTATTCAATTCATCTAATCATTATCTGAATCTTGAATTGGTAGCAATTGAAGTTTGATAAGATTGGAGACAGCCTTCTACTAATTGTGTAAACAAGGCAATATAGGATGTCCTTTTGGCAAATGATTTTTTTCAACCTGGAAGATATACTATAAATAATGTGCTCAATAAAATGGGTGATTATTATGATAATAAACTTTAGGGATAACTCCCTATCCAGTACATGAACTTCCACTTCAGTATCCCTCCCTGTAAATGGACCAGTCCACCTCTTCTTGGAATAATCAAATGGCAAGATTTCCAGAATGGACTGGCCAGCCAGAAAGCAAGATATAATGTATCTGGTTCTGTCTTGAACTGAATCAACATTTTCTTCCACCCATTGGCCTACAGTTCAGTTGCTGGAGCAACACACACTATGAATCTTATCTCTTTTCCCTTTACATGCTATATTTGAAAACACACCTTATGCCCCTTCGCCCTGAATCATTTTTTGTCTATTGCAGCTGTTTCTCACCCACTGTAGGGTCTCACTATTCCCTGCCCTAACCAATATGCCCTAGTTCCACATTCTTGCCATTCCTCCCAATGTATGTTGTCTAAAACACAGATGTGAAATCTTTAGTTCTTGATTCTCTACATATATTTGGGCAGCTTACTGTTCATGAGCTCATTACACTGTTTACTAATTTCAAACCTATAAACAAAATAACAATTCATTCTTTTCAGATGGTTAATCATCCAGAGTCAAAACATTATGATAGTAGTTTCAAAACATTTTTTTCATGCCTGAACTTTCCTATAAATATAGAAAAGGTAATGCTGTGCAGGTAAATAGAGTTCTACATGCAATGAAGATAGCTACTTAATTTCTCCTTATCAAAGAACACCAACCCCAAAAGTACCAAATGTAGAATGTTCTCAAGACAAGCAAAGTGAAGCTTCATGTACTAGATATTACAGACTACGATGTAGGCTTCTCCTGGACCTTACCGTGTTTGCTTCCACAAGCGTGAGTCAGTCCTAGCAATCAAGCATTTATTGAAGGCCTGTTCTGTGCAAGTCCGAGAGAGTATGCCATCTGGCCCTAAATGAGGTGAAAGTACATCTGACAGAAATGCTTCCTCAGGCAACTGGGATTTAAGGTGTACATGCAGGACATGACTGAGTCAACAACCTTCTCTTCACCTGGAGGTAAATGGTTTGCCAATGTTGCAGGGAAGTCTAAAGCAGGTATCATGCGGCATAAGTGCTAGGGAAGTTCCTGCCTCCTGTGATGTGTCTCGTCAAGTCAGACAAAGGTTCTTATGCTCCTCACTTTCCAAGTCCTAGCTTTCTTGGCAGAAGGAAGCAAAGCTGGTATTTATAGGGGGAGAGGGTGTGGTTCAAAGGCAAACACTTTGTGACCCGTTGGACCTCAGTTTGAATCTGAGCTTTACCACCAACATGAAAATGAGCTCCTCTGAGACTCACTTTTCTCCTCTGTAAAAATTATAATGTCTTGCCCAAGGCTGAGATATTTCCACACAACCTAGGTAGCATTTATGGTCTGTACTGCATATTAGATACCTACCTGGTATGATTGATTTCTCTTTTATGTTTCTGTCTGAGGCTTCCCAACTAAATTATATTTCCCCTGCTACCAGCTGAGAATCTGCCACAGCTGAGAATCTTCTGTCTTCCTGTAAGAAATGTTTATGGTTGACGATAATGACAATGTGTTAACAGCAAGTTTGAATGTGAAGGAAATGACCATTTTTCTTGGCAAAAAGAGAAAACTCACCTGGGATATAGACTGATGTCTGGGCCTATAAGAAGCCCCTATACTGTGCACAGACCCTTAGTCAGGAAAGGGGCAAATGGCAGTCTTGTGCTCTTAGATGAAATGGTCCACACTGTTCTCATTGTATGTGAGTGTGTGTGCAGTGAAATTCCTTACTCATCCTTTGTATTATGGTCTCTGTCCATATTGCATTTACTTCTTTGCTTCATTCTGTTGTCCTTTAAAGGGAGGAAATAATCAATGGTAAGATGCATTTTTTTTAAAGTTCAAAAATGTATTTCACTACTTTTCACTTCCTATCCAACCCCCCTCCCATCCAAATTACTGCAGACCTACTGACAATACTGGGACATGCCATTACCAAACCAAAGTTTTACTTTGATAAAAGAAACCCCCAAGTTAGAATGGCATAACATGAAATAATAGTAAACTAGATGTCAGGAAGCCTGGTCCCTTCTAAGTTCTGCCTCTAATTGGCTTTGCAATTTTTGCAAACTAT